TGGTACTAGATGAAAGGAACCAACTGTTTGAATCGCTAGAATCACAGAAAGAGATGTCCGAATGCTCTACAACTATGGATCGTATTGGCTGGTCCCCGCTCTTGAGGTCATATGAAAATGTGGACAATATAAAGCATTTGCTCCATTCTAATGTTGGTTCGATATGCTTTTCAGTGACGTAAGATGCTATATCGTCCGAAAGTAAACTTGATAGCACGTAAAAACTTCGACAAGTATAAGGGTGGTGCTAACTTTTTGTTTTTAGACATACATTTAACGAAGAAATAAACTCAGCTATGTGTTTATTTACGGATGGCTTTTGTACTGCTCTTTATCAATATGCGAGTTTGCAGTAACGTCATATGATGGTCTGATAGCAGAGAAATGCAGGATCGCTAGTTTTGTCTCATATTGCGTTGAGGCTATGACAATCCTCTCGGCTCTGGAATTGAATCTTAAATTTAAATGGCTCAAGCTCATTATTTTTCGGATTCTAGATCGGTTCTCGACGCTGTTAATATATATTATCATTGCAGCAGTTCCTACCTCATACTCTACAGCAAGGCTTATGCTCTCCGTTTATCCAAAGAAATGGATATAGAGGTTAAACTTGTATGGATATCTAGTCATATCGGGATTGGAGGGAACAAAGAAGCGGATGGATTGGCGGGAGAGGCCGTACGATCTGGCAAGACACGCAGATAAGCATACCGGTTTCTGAGTTGGTAAATTATTGTTAAGGCCGGATGTATGGTGAGCTGTTCGAATGGATCATGAACGAGTCAACAACACGCGAAGCAAACTATTGTGGCAAATATTTATTCGAATCTAAGCACACTTGGCTCGAAAGATTCAGCGTTAAAAGAAGGACAGTATCTATCAACAGAATTAGATCGGGCCACATATCCCTGAACGATTGTTTGTACCGGTTCTGCATAGTTCTTCTCTATGCCGAACCTGAAAGATACTCCCGATCACATTTTTTGGGAGTGTCCCGCCTACGGGGAGCAAAGACGAGCGCTTTAGGAAATTCTTATCGAAAAGAGAGGTTTTCTCCCACACCCTATTGAATACCTTATGGCAACGATCGATAATAACATTATTTATGCTTTAGAAAAGTTTATATGCTCAATCGAGAAACGCATTTAAATTTAAGTTTACCTTTAATTCTACTTTAAACTACCCCAATTACACATACTATATGGTACATATATACTCCCATATAAATAAGATTTATACGTAATTAATCTAGTTATTTCTATGTTTGAGTTTAATTTTGTGCCAAAACTTTCTTTTTTAATATTTTACTTATATACATCTTATCATGCACTGTGATACTCAAACTGAGAGAGCGAGAATTTATTTTAGTTTTAGTTTTGATTTCCTGTGATTTCGAGGAGAGTTTTACACTCTCCCTTGCAATGTATTGTATATTAGACATAATCTGATTTGTTATACGAAAATTGACTGCGTGTATAGTAGAATAGGTATAAGAATTCTAACTCACTATGTATTAGTGCGTATTCGTATACGATGTGCATGTGTGTAAATGGCGGAGAGAGGATCAGAGAGGGGAAAAATGCATCACAGACGCTGGGTCCGAGAAAGGAGGAAAGCGCATCACCGGGATCCATGTTAGAGGGGAAGAAGGGTTTGTTTCTTCTCTCTTTCACACACCCGTTGCGTTCTTTCTTTAACCTATTGTCCTCTCTCTCTTACTCATTGTAGAATGCAGTTCTCCCTCTTCAATCCGTTGCAGTCCTATACTTATTATTTGCGCTCTCTCTTCTTCCCGTTACGCTCGCTTTTCTTTTCTTCTTTTGCACATGATTTTATTGTATTAAATAAAAATTTGTTTTTACGATTTTTTTTTAATAATATGACTCGGCAATAATTTTAATTTAGCAACTGATAATAAGTTTAGTAATACAAATGGGCGAGCGTTCCTATTTATCGAATCATTATTAAAACTGTTATTGAGTAACTATCGAATACTTATTATATTAAACTATATACATACTACTGAACAAATATCATTATTGATAGATTTTTAATTATAGTGATAGGGAAAAGAAATTAAAATGCGTTAAAAAAAATATAATACTTTTTTTTTAAACTTGATATTTTTTTCCTAGTGTTGCGACCACTAGTTCTATATTTTAAATACATTCTGTAACGCAATTTTTGTAACAAACATGTTTTGTACACATCGTACAGTATTAATAATATCAAGATTTCGTAAAGAATCTATATCTTCGTAATCAGCATCCAGAGACTCACTTGTCGAGTCGTCGCTATCGAGTATAGCAGCCAGCCATTCGCGATTTTCACGTCCTTTAACGACGACTTATTGTAGTCATTCTTTTTCGCATCAATTACAGCCATCATAATCAGGCGTTTTATCATGCTATGCGGAATTATCCCGTCTTCCCATTGCAATCCATGGTGATAAACACTCAGCCAGGAAGCGCAAAATTTTTCGGATTTTGTCAAGAAGTTCCATGGCATGGAACATGTAAAAATAAAATGAAAAAATAGCTTTCTTTTCAACACTGCCACTTCCTTCGCAATAAATTTCTTTCCAACGATAAATTCTTGCAGATCCACAAACGTTGGAACGATCATGGTGAATGACTTTTTGAGACTGTGCTTGATCACAAAAAATCTTGGATTTTACCTCATATATAATATTAAAAAGAGGGGGAAAGTATTTTTTGGTGATGTCGCGAGCAGTCAATCACTAGAGTAAAACTTTTCAAAAAGAAGTTTAATTGGAATGATGGTTCATTTCTTTCACTAGGGATTTGATAGTAAGACATACGGAAATGTAAATACATATCATACAAAATAGTGGCTTTGCGTTTGTCAAAGTCTAGATTCAGATCAGCGTACGGATAAAATTCAGATTTTAGATAAAGTTTCACATTGTTTAATTTACAGATGTCGAAGTAAGTTTTACGTGTTGTGATGATATTTTTTTATCAGTCTGTAGACTAAAGATAACATATCGTGGTTTTTCGCAGTCTTGATGGCCCAGGAATACTTCGTTGTACTCGACAATAGGAGGTACTCATATACATAATTCCCAGGAACGGAAACTCATACACAGATATTATCCGCTCTCTAAAACGCGTAGAATAGTTTATTAACTTCGTTCAACGCAACGTGAGGCATTTCATCACTGTACTTCGAATTATTCAAGCGTCGGCTCTGTCGCTGGATTTCTCACTATATAATTGTTACCATTGCGTGTATCAAAATCAATTCGTCACAAGCGTTAATTACCACACGTCTGTAATCTTCGCAATAGCCCAACAATATGCTAAGCGGTACACAAAAATTAAAGTATCCATCGTCTGTCATTAGGCTTTTCGCGATATAACTAGAGTTGATAACTCCAGAATTATGCAAACTAAATACGATTTCATTAGGAAATGTTGCATAACCCTTTATAAGACTAGTTATTCTAACGTTTCTCTGCTGCAATCAATCTCCATACCGCTGGGTTCATATCGAATTTCATCGAACGTGAACGCCACACGATTACATTCAAGATTTGGCTACTTTTGTACAATTTTTTCCTTTGAAGTCAATCTACCTTCGACGTAGAGAATGCTTTCACACGGTGTATAATCCTGCTATTGTATGGGTATCCTTATCTCGTCGCTATGTCCAAACGTCGAGTTGACGTACAGATTGTACGTGTGAAACTCAAACTTGACGATGCAATCGTCAAAGATTGGTTCGCCGCCAATATTCAAGATATCAGCCATCATAGATATTTCGTACAACAAAACCTAATGATTGTAAAAATTTAACATTCGACGCAGTGAGTTTCTTTCTACTGGACGATCGAATGTTTTTGATCGCTGTCATCCCTCTGGCAAAAATTATGTCCCCTGTCTGTTTCGCCTGCTCATTCAGAACAAGCATCTCACGTTATCATTGTTGTATCATCGTAGTCAGACCGAGCTCGTAATTGTCATCGCTTGAATCTACTGTCAGAACGTACTAGGTCGCGAGGACGCTACTCTTACCGGTGTAAATGTCAGTGACATGTTTGTATGAATATCTAATTGAAAGAGTGTCGATCAATGTCAATTTTTATTGATCGTCAACCGTTTGTAAAAACTGTAGATACAATTGTCCACAATTACTTTGATCATAATGTTGATAAGGCGTGCGATTATACACAATTTGCGTTACGTCCAAATATCGCATCAATTCCGGTGGATGAAGATTGCCAAAACTACTTGTATCAAAATAAACAGCACGATCTTCCCATTTCGCGTACGCCATTCAATGAGTACCTGGTCCATCAGCATTATCCAAATTTATGGTACCAATCTCGTTTCTATACACTCCCCTTATGGTAAAGTAGTACATATGAAAATACTTCTAAAATATAAAATATACGTATACGTTTTGTCAGTTGTTGCAGTTGTACGTTGGTAGTTACACTCTTCAGCATTTTTAACAACTCACAGTGGGATAAAAATCGAT